ATTCCAGGGGTTCAGCAGGAGCCAAGTTCTGTTCACGAGCCTCCCCGAGGGTGGATGTTCCTGGGCACGCAGGACTCTAGCCAAGCACAGCCTCTGTTGCGGGAGGGCCAAGAATCCCGCGCTACAAACTCCCAGACTGTCAAATGAGAAGACCCAAACTGGGCACCGGGGATGCATGAGATACGACTGCGTATATTTACCTGGCTTGCTAGCGAGCAAGATCAGTAATCCAGAAGAGACCTCTGAAGAGACATCTCTCGGCAAGCTTTTTCGGAGTCTTTTTTGAAAACATCAAACGCTATAGCAAAACTACAGGTTTGAGACTATATGGGGACCCTGTAGGGTTTTCAAGGTAAGAGATGTAGCTTGCCATTCCCTGCCTCTGTCTAGTGAATGACCCAGGACTTCCTTCGTGGTCTTCCATCCAAATACTAACCAGGTCTGACCCTACTTAGCTTCTGAGGTTGGATGAGATCGGGCTACCCTGGGTCGTCCAGGTCAGTGGAGGTGGGGGAAAGTGCCACCAAGTGGCCGCTGCCTAATGGGGCCCGGTGATTTGTCATTGCCTGCCTCCGCATGGTGACCCTCGACTTCCTTGGAGGTCTCCCATCCGAGGTCTAACCAGGACCGACCCTGCTTAGCTTCTGAGACTTCAAGGCAAGAGACGTTCAGAGGTGGTTTGCCCTTGCCTGCCTCTGCGTGGCAACCCTGGACTTCCTTGGTGGTCCCATCCAAGTGCTAACCATCCAAGTACCAACCAGGGCCAACTGCTTAGCTTCTGAGACTTCAAGGCAAGAGACGTTCAGAGGTGGTTTGCCCTTGCCTGCCTCTGCGTGGCAACCCTGGACTTCCTTGGTGGTCCCATCCAAGTGCTAACCATCCAAGTACCAACCAGGGCCAACTGCTTAGCTTCTGAGACTTCAAGGCAAGAGACGTTCAGAGGTGGTTTGCCCTTGCCTGCCTCTGCGTGGCAACCCTGGACTTCCTTGGTGGTCCCATCCAAGTGCTAACCATCCAAGTACCAACCAGGGCCAACTGCTTAGCTTCTGAGACTTCAAGGCAAGAGACGTTCAGAGGTGGTTTGCCCTTGCCTGCCTCTGCGTGGCAACCCTGGACTTCCTTGGTGGTCTCATCCAAGTACTAACCATCCAAGTACCAACCAGGGCCAACTGCTTAGCTTCTGAGACTTCAAGGCAAGAGACGTTCAGAGGTGGTTTGCCCTTGCCTGCCTCTGCGTGGCAACCCTGGACTTCCTTAGAGGTCTCCCATCCGAGGTCTAACCAGGACCGACCCTGCTTAGCTTCTGAGATTTCAGGGTAAGAGAAGTTCAGAGGTGGTGCCCCATTGCCTGCCTCTGCGTAGTGACCCTGGACTTTCTTGGTGGTTTCCCATCCAAGTACTAACCAGGGCCAACTGCTTAGCTTCTGAGATTTCAAGGCAAGAGACGTTCAGAGGTGGTTTGCCCTTGCCTGCCTCTGCGTAGCAACCCTGGATGTCCGTAGAGGTCTCCCATCCAAGGTCTAACCAGGACTGACCCTGCTTAGCTTACAAGATTTCAGGGTAAGAGAAGTTCAGAGGCCTCTGCATAGCAACCCTGGACTTCCTTGGTGGTCTCCCATCCAAGTACCAACCAGGGCTGACCCCACTTAGCGTCCAAGATCTGATGAAATCGGGCTAGATTGGGCCATTTGGGTCAAGGCTACATGGTACCCCCCCCATGTAAAGAGACGTCACTGTCTCTTCTGTTGTGACTCTTTAATTTGTCATCAATTGGTATTGTTGGAACATTACAAACTACTGTATGATTTCGTATTTTTTAAATGGACTGAACCTGGGACCTTCTACGCACCCTATGAACTCAGTCCCCACCCCTCCCTGAACGGATCCGTGGGATTCGACTCTCTGTAATGTGATCGACGCAAAGCATCTGTTCCAAAAACCCCAAAGCTTCTGAAGCTCAGGGGCCGGTAATCCGTGAAAAGGAAGCCATTCCCTGAAAACGGCTGTCGTCGCCGATGCCGTCATCTGCCGTACCTCGCTGGCCGGAGAGCCGTCACTCACCTTTGGACACAGGATCTCTGTCTGTTGGATCATGATCAGGGCGGAGGCGATCAGAGCCCCCTGACGCACGTAGTTCACGGGGTCGTTGGTCATGGGCTCCAGCAAATTAATCGCTTCCTATTGCAGAGGGATAAAAAAAGGGAAGGGGGGGAGGGGAGGGGAGAAAGGACGCGGAATATTAACCTTATTACTCTTTCAAACACCAGGCTTTCGTCAGGATAATAAAATTAGGGACCTCGAGCGAGCCGAGGAACGGAGCCTCGCTTATTGTATTTATGCGGGCTTGTCCGGCCCGGCGATAACAGGACACGGAGTATGAAAGCAGTGAATAAAACAAGAAAAGAAAAGGGAAAGCAGCAGCAGCAGCAAGGACTCAATTTCATTCCCCAGAGCTTGAGAACAAAAGGGAGGTGACGGATGGGAGACTGGGCTTAAGGGAAATATGTGCGGCCTTGGAAGCAGAGGTGTGAGGAGAGTCCAGCCAGCGACTCCCTCCGTTGATAAATGATGCCTATATTAGGCGACAAGAAGGCGGCTTTTGGGGAAGGAAAAAACACACACCCCACACCATGCTAGATTTGCAAGGGTGGGCACCAGTGTTCCCTCAAAGATGAGTTAGTGTGAGGTCAGTTGTCCAAGGGATCCTGGAGGTTTTTTGCTTTCCTCTGGGCACAGAGCACAGGTCACTGGGGGGCGTGGTCGGGGGGAGGGTATTTGTGAATTTCCTGCATTGTGCAGGGGGTTGGACTAGATGACCGTTGAGGTCATTCCAGCTCTATGTTTCTATGCTTCACACTGGTGGAAGACGATGAGAGACGTGAACAAACAAATCTCCCTAGGAAGGAACTTTGACAACTTTGACGTCGTGACCAAGAAAGTCCTTTCCGAAGTTGCAATCTGCCTGGCTTCAAATGTTGGGGGCATTTGACGCAGGGCCTCCAAAGATGACCAGAGTGGATGGGCGGGTTCATATGGGAGAAGGTGATCCTACGTTGCACTAGGGGACCATTTTTGAAGAAGGAGGAGGAGGAGGAGGAGGAGATTGGATTTATACCCTACCCTGCCTTTCATTACCTGAAGAAGTCTCAGAGCAGCTTACAAACTCCTTCCCCTCCCCACAATAGACACCCTGTGAGCAATACTCCCTCTAATCTCATGAGCAAAAATTCTCCTTTGTGAGCTACTGGCATTTAAGTTGTGAGCGAGCGATTTGGCTACTGCATAAATTAGTTTGCTCCGGAGCCAGGGGTCATTTCCTGCAGGAGCGCACAGGAGCAGAGCTCCGGCAGTAAAGGGTCCAGGGGGCAGGCACATGAAACAAACCCCACCCCCTGCTCCCAGCAGCCCTCAGTCAGAGCAAGAAGCAGCCAGGTAAGCTGCAGAGCCCCCCCACGGCACCCCGGTCCAAAACAGTCCAGTGGCACCTTTAAGACCAAGTTTTATTCAGGTACAAGCTCTCCCTCCTCTGCGAGGACAGATCTGTACGTCCCCGCCCCCAATAGCTAGCAATTCAAAACAGTCCAGTGGAGCCTGAGCGGTTTGTGTTGCCTTCTGACACACTTCCGGTGATGTCAGGGGGTGTGGCATATGCAAATAAGTCAGGCTAATAGGTTATGCTAATGAGCTCCTGCACCTCTTTTTCTACGAAATGACCCCTGTACCACAGCCATCCTTCCTGAGCTAAGACAAAAATGTGTGAGCCGGAGGGTAAAAAAATGTGAGCTAGCTCACACTAACTCAGCTTAGAGGAAACACTGCCTGTGAGGTAGGTGGGGCTGAGAGAGCTCTTTCGAGGACTGCCCTTTCAAGGACAGCTCTGACAGAACTATGGCTTGCCCAAGGTCATCCAGCCAGGTGCATGTGGAGGAGCGGGGAATCAAACCCGGTTCTCCCAGATTAGAGTCCGCACACTTAACCACTGCACCAAGCTGGCACTTAACCACTACACCAAACTAACCGTGGTGGT